CATGCACGATTCAACTGCACGAAGGCACTGAACACGGAGATTGAGCTACTTGTATAAGGTACATTGTCTGTATGCTTCGTACGTAGTTAGACCTGTTGCACTTGCATATTATATTTTATATTGAAAGTTTACGCACCGAGACAATCTAGCTTGTCTTCGTCGTCCGTGCAGAAAGATGTCGAGCTTTACAATTTACAAACGACGAGGGTTGGTGTGATGAGGGGGTAGGCGAGAGGGGGAAGTCGAAGTGGACAAGGCTCATGCACCAACCACATTATGGTCAGACCGGATGAAATATCAATTGATGCTAACACTGCATTGCCGTATATTACAGATCCTAAATTGTTAATTATCAAGCGTATGTGTGAGTAGAGTTTTTCCAAATTTTGGTACCCCTTTATCCTTTAGACTATAATCAAAATGAAAATACCCGCGAGTCTCGCTTTTGAATTTGAAATGTGATGATTTCTTTCCCTCACTTCTCCTGCAGTCATACGGCGCACACATTGAAACCAAAGCTCTTTTCTCCCCTTCTCTTCTCCTCTTCACCTCTCCAAATATCTCGGGGATCTTCACACCCTGACGTTGTCTCTCAAATTGAGTCTCCATTTTCACATTCGGAATCCCACTTTTGTAAGTTCGCACATCCCAAATCAGAATCTTGTGTCCGATGTCAACTAGACAAGGACCACAAATTTTTAAAGTTGTCAGACATGCTGTTGTTGCCCAATCACAATTCAGTGCAATGGTTATCCCAGAAAAGGTGTAGAACCCTGGATACACATATGAATAAGACTACGACTGAAAAGGAGATGATATTCGGAAAAAATGATGCTGCTGCTCGTGTTTGATACTCAATTTGGTGTAATCAAACTTTATAATTATCCAAAAGTCTTGACGAATTTATTTGATGATGCAGGCTGGGAAGTCCTGGGGAAGCACAAAGTCTATTCACATTGGCGATGTTCTGTCGAACATGAAACGTTTGATTTTCTTCTTGGAGGGAATACGGACAAATACCCGTACAAAGTAGTGAAAAGTAGCAAAAAGTAGCAGTTACTGTTGCCAGCCGTGTGGCTTCAACAAAGTCTATTCCCGCTGACTTCTTCCCCAAATCACACCGAGGTAGCTTCCTTTGTCGTCGCCATGTTTACTCGACTTTCACATATTCAGTTACACTTACACGCCCCACTTCGATTACCCATGGTGCCGCGATTCACCCACATAAATTCAGCCATCCAGCGCGGGACAAATATAAGGTAAAGTCAAGCTCCAAAATCCTTGCCCCCCTCAGCCATTCGATCATCTGGGAATAGAGCCGTCCGCCATCCGCCGTCAGTCAGCACTCACTCAGCACACCGGATATGTTCCATGACCAGAGAATCTTGAAGGTAGTTTTGGTAGTTTGGAGCTGTGCCTGCGATGATTGACATTTACCGATCTATGCTATGCCCAATGCTAATTTCGTCGCTCTCTCTTTCCGAGCCCTGTAACTTGTGGGCTTGGTAACCTTACTCTACCTACGGACAAAAATTTAATATACTGTATGAAATTTGATATTCGTGTGATCCGGCCTGCGTTTCGTCGAACATGGAAGGGGACAAATTGAGCTTGGCAATGACGAGAATGCATCTTAGTTTTATTCCTTTACTGCAAGAGCGTTGATAGTAGTTGTTACGGTGCAGTAGGTGGAAGGTATCTTGCATGACTTGAAGCCCGAACAAATATCGAGGGATGGAAGCGAGGATGAGAGAAGGGGGGCAAGCTAACGCGGAATTGTGGTCAGGATCGGATTGCGTCGGTGATACAGTAGGCAGAGTCTCACACCCAAGTAACCAAGCTACTTCTTCATGCAGCAATTTGTCTTTGTCTGGCAATCACAAAGCGGCAAAGCACAAGGTATCGCAGGATCCCTAGCTATTGCCTCGCAGCCCTCGCAGTACTTTACAGCATACAGCTTAGGGCATACAGTAGTAAAAGCTTTTCGAGGTGATCCTTGAATCCTGTTTCGGTCCCCAATGTGGGGAGAATTGAGTCGTCGAGGGAGTCTCCGTTCTTTCTGTCTCGTGAATAAGCTGAGGCAAGTTTTGGAGAGTGAGGATCGATCAGATAATATTTCCATTCTCCATATTGTATTGTAGCCACGGAGTAACCCCTCAATCAGTCTTTGCCACTGGCTTCATGGATATACCGGATTACCTGAATGCTACATGCTGTCGCCGAGAGATAATTAACGTGGAAAATATACTCCGTACTAGCATTGCCCTGAAGCAGACCAACTCATTCTAATTCATGATGGAAACTCCTTATTTTCTATATACATGAAAGGGGTTCCCTACGCAGTACAGACGATTGAAACCTTACTCATGATTCTGGAAGCTTTTGGCTTTTCGATTTCACTATTTAGCCTTTTTAGATGGAAATCTACTTGGCCTGTCTCGACTCTCCCATCAACACGGCAGCCAACAGCTACCATTTCCCTTGTTCATTCCTGACGCTAGATTCAAAGACGCATTGTGATTCGTGACATGTTCAAGTACGCAAATCTATCTGGAGCCAATCGAGGCTGTGGATTATCAAGAGACAGGAGAGCTAATGTATCATTGTGATACTAACTCTATGTTTGGGTGCCTTCAATTCGGTACCATCTGCTCCGTACATTTTACATCAGTCGCCAAAACCCTGCTGAGAGAGGTAGACAATGTAAACTATACTTGATGAATACCAGAACAGAGCAATTATGTCTACATGTCTACATCACCATGAAAGGCATAGTAACCACTTAAATCGAATGATTTTGATATTTGTAGATAGTCCAACACATTTAATCCTCGTCCATCCACTCACTTACCCACCCATCCATCCATCAATCCATAGTCCATAATCCATAATCCATAATCCATAGTCGATTCATCCCATCCCATCCCATCCATCCCATCCATCCCATCCCATCCGTATTTCTGTGATATCCACAAACAAGCAAGCATTCGAGGTCTTTGCTCTTTCGGTGCGACAAGCTACTTTTTTCTTAGTGGAGGGGAGCAATTTAGTTCTACTCCACCATCATACGCATACAAGAATAATACACCCGGATCATACAACGGTACAGTAGTTTCGTATTGAACTACAGAACCTTGAACATTCACTCATCTACAATAATGATAATAATAATAAAACAATTCCATCCATATGACGAGAATTGATTGACCATCACTTTACCGTACATCTTCTTCTCCCTCGATATATCTATCAATCAATATAAATTCGAAAATCCAGAATCCCCAGTCAGAGCGAGAGAGAGAAAGGGGACCGACATTGTGTATATGTGAGAGAGAGGGAAAGAGAGAGGTAAAGAGAGAAGTGTGTGTGTATGTGTAATGCACTGGTAAAAAGGTAAAAAGAGAAAGGAATTCTAAGAAATTCTCTTTGAACCTAAAGAAAAGAAATCGGAAGCCTTCCCTTTTTACACTTTTACCTCCTCCTAGGAACTATCTAACTATCGGTACTTCCTCCTCTTATTACACTACCAGCCGAACCACCTAATTTTACTACCAACGCACAAAACCCATAATCCACATTACAAATTTACCTTCATCGGCTTTTCACCATAACAAATCATTTCCAACATCCTATCATACTCTACCTTGGATATTTACATATACATCCTGTACCCGTATATACATATCTGGGTATAAACAGCGAAACATCCTTTCAACTTTATTGCATTACGAACCAAGGCTTTGGAATCTGGCGGCTACCAACCTGATAAGAAGAATCAAGTACAGTACATCCATCCTTGAACAATTAACTGTCATCCACCAACCCTCGGCCAAGGTTTCCAAAATTTGCGACACCAATTACATCTGACTTGTCGCTGCTCCTGGGGTCTAGACAAAAAAGAGTACAAAGTCAAGAGTACATACCTACCGAGAACAACTTCTATATTTGTTCAACCCTCGCTGTATCGTCGCAAATTCGGAGAGATTAAGTTGATCAAAAAGATCGTTCGATAAAACCAATCTACAGGGCAGAAAAAACACAAATATCCTCGAAAGAATATAACCAACCATAAGCCCATTTTTGCAGGATCATTCTAGGATTGGATTCGGTTACGGGTTCTCTGTCACATTGGGTGAGGACCGTCCGAGAAGGAGGTGTGTCGCTCCAACGAAATGCCTGGAACGGCGCAATACCTTGAGCGTGGGGGGCTCCTCCAAAGATTCCGCGACTCATCTGAGGACTGGCATACGAGTGGAGAATCACAATCAAATAATACTACATCATCAGGATCGATAGGCACACAGCACGATTTCAGATTTCCACGAAGGCCCGAGAATCTATCTACACACCCGACATCTGCGAGTCAATCAACGAACAACTACAACAATTCCGACGACCAGATAAAGAGCCCCGGCGCGAGCGCAACAGCTCAGGAAGACAAACTGGATCACCCAGCGTCAAGCCGTGCGCGCGATGATTTGCTCGGTGAGAGTTTCTTTCCAACCTGGAAAGATGGCTCCGCCGGCGAGGAGCTCGATGATACGGATGAGATGCAAAAGAAAGATCCTTTGGCAACACAGATTTGGAAGTTGTACAGTAAAACAAAGAAGACTTTGCCCAACCAGGAGCGATTGGAGAACTTGACATGGCGCATGATGGCAATGAATCTGCGAAAGCGCAAGCAGGAGGAAGATAATCGGTATGAAGCCGATGAATTTCATCCTTTGTGAAAGGCCAAGTTTAGCTAACAGTGTTTCACTAGATCATCTCAACAGAATCAAACCTCAACTGTACCAAGTGGAATTGCTCAGCTAAGGAAATCTACAGATCAGGCGACTGTAGATACTTCTGATGCTATGAATTTGGACGATTTCATATTTTCCGATAGTATATCCACGCCAGCCGGGCTCGCCACTTCGCCTTCGCCAGAACTCATGAAAAAAGAGGTCGAGAAGCCATCAAGCACTGTAGCTTCGGCGATTCCTATCAAAATGCGGAAAGAATCGGCGCCGTTGCAGTTTTCTGCCCCACAATCTGTTCCAGTTCCTCATCACGCCCCTCGAAGCAACGATGAATTTAATTATGTGCAGAGACATGTGAGGAAAACAAGTATTGATGAGCGCCGTGTAAGTTTTACCACCTCTTACGGGTTCTAAATATGATCTGCAGGTTTTAAGCGCCATCGAGGTTGAACTGACAAAACTAACAGGCCCGCAAACGACCGGCCGATTTCTCGCCTCAAGTCAACAGCATAATGATCCCCAACGACCCTGATCATGATGATCTCCCAGAGTATTCTCTAAACCAACCTCATCCACCATTTAGCAGCCACGGAGTGTCGGGAATACCATTTCAACTAGATACCTTCAACATGGACAATGACCCGATCATCACCTCAGCAGGTCCTTTTCAACAAAATTTTAACTTCTCCCCATCACATTCGCCCCTTGTTCCTCATGGACCCTTCTCTTCAATGTACAATAATGCTTCGATGCCATCTTCTTCTTTGAACTCGAACGACTACTACTCTCCTCCTGGAAGTGCCTATCCTTCTACAGTCTCTACTCCTCAACCCATCCCAGAGGGACAGGAAATGTACTTCCAACATGGGATGAACATGCGACACCAACGTCCTCACACCTTCAATCAAGGACCTTCCAGTCTCTCCAATTCCATGGCGCCTCAATACATGTACAACGGCAATGGCGGATCTATGTTTAGTGCAGTGACAACCTCCGGTCCGTCGCACAACTCCTATGCCTCTGCTGGTTTTGGTATGTCGCAACATATAGATCCAGCTCAGGTCTTCCAATCCGATCATCCTGTGAGATCTCCTGGTGTCAAAATCGGCCATGAAAATATTTTTTCATTTGGAGGGGATTCTGACAACGAGGACGAAGAAAGTCAAGCTTTTGCCGACCGAACGCTCATGCTGCAACATGATTTCGCTCAATCGCCTTTGGACGTCAACGAACATGGATATGCATGGAAGTGGAGGCTTACAATGGGATACCAGTTTGTCAGGACAATTTAACACCCAGGCAGCACGATATCCAGGCGGACCGCCAAGAAAGCAAGTTACTATTGGAGGAACAGAAATGGTATCATCACCATTGGAGTGGGATGGATCTGGAGGTTCTCTTGGGAGACATCACGGTTCAACTCAGTCCGTTTCTGATAATCGCTCAAGAACCGATAGAAGACAAAAGATCCCCCGAACCGCCTCGACACCAAATGCAGTCCTTCTCGGCCAGAACAGCATGTTCGATAACTCGGGACCATCTGGACCAAACTCGCCACCAGATGGAAACAACATGTCAGGATTCTCATCGGTAGCACCCAGTAGACCAGGATCCCCTGGTGGATCTAAACACGGTTCAACTACCAATCTTGCAGCCGCTGGTCAAGGGGACAATGGTGTACCAACTACCTGTACGAATTGTTTTACACAAACAACACCTCTTTGGAGACGAAACCCAGAAGGCCACCCACTCTGCAACGCTTGCGGTCTCTTCCTCAAACTACACGGCGTTGTGCGCCCTTTGTCTTTAAAAACAGATGTCATCAAGAAGCGAAATCGCGGTTCTGGTGCTACGCTTCCAATTGGTACTTCGGGCGGTGCTTCGACGAGAGCTTCTAAGAAGATAGGCACAATGAGCAGTGGACCCAATACTAGAAAGAATTCGATAGCTGCAGCTACAAGCATGGCCAACACAGCACCTCCAACACAAGTAACTACACCTACTAGCAGTCATGGAAGAAATGCAAATGAGAGTGCCAGTCCTCCTTCAATTGCGGGTTCATTAGGAAATGGAGGAAGCACTGCAGGCAGTACTCCAACTTCATACCATGGTTCCGCGGGATCTTCCTCAGGTACAATAGGTGTGAGTGGAGGTAAGGGTGTAGTTCCTATAGCTGCTGCTCCACTGAAAGCAACACCGGGCCCTGGTGCGGCATCTACTATGCCTCGATCAAATGCAGTACCCAAACGACAAAGGAGACACAGCAAGAGTGTCAGCGCAATTGAGAGTATGGACATTGATTCCCCCGAAACTTCGACTGGTAGCAATGAGGCAGCGAAATCTATTGGTATGGGATTGATGGGTACCTCTAATGGAGCCATGGGCAACATGAGCCTAGGAAATGGATTTGGTATGCCAGGACGACCAATGATGGGACCAGGAAGTTCTGGAATTCAAATGGGTTTGGGAGGATCACAACATGGAATGGCTATGAATGGTCAGAATGGACCTAACGGTTCAAGTGCCGGTCCTCAAGAATGGGAATGGCTAACCATGAGTCTTTGATCGAGTATTTTGGCATTCTTCTTACACCGACGCCATTTGGCGTTCTTTACTTCCTACGACATTTTCTGGGGTTGGCGGCTACAATTGATTGTTACTCGGAGCTACTTCTACTCGGCATTTTATGATACCAGCGAGAATTCGCCCTTTTACATTTTGAGTTACAAATGATACGATGATGATGCTTTTTCTTTCTTCAATGGATCGAATTAATCTAGTGCATCTTGGTCTATACCCCACATTTTGGGGGGGGGGGGGGGGGGAACATTGGGGAGGCTACATTGAAACTTGCGTTTTTCTTTTAGTTGGACTTTGTTGGCATGAAGAATTTTGATACCATGTTACCTTCTTCTTCTTCGCCTCATCTTATTTGGCGGTCTAAGGTATAACTAGGGGGAACGGGATGGGGATTTGGGCCATGCGAATTCGACCTTTGCTTCTTTTTTG